CCGTAGGTTCAGCAAGGAAGAACAGGAAATGCTGAAAAAGAAGTGGAAAACAACATAATCAAAACAGAATTCAAAACAGACTTCTTGGCTCTGGTGGGAGGACGCATGAAGGCTGGACCTCCTCCTAATAGGTAAGAGATAATGCAGAAATAAAACCTGGGTGCACTGTGTTCCTCATAGGGGTAACTGGGATCCACCTGGGCCATATCTGAATCTCCTCAGGCCTGAAACAGAATCAGCTTTTAAACTTTACAGGAAGCTGCTGTGGTCACTCATTAACTATCATCTTCAGCAGTGCTGTCCTGAGGGTTGTGCAGCCCTGAGCTACCCGTTTACCTCTCCTTTGTGATAACCTTACTATAGGGCTGCACAGGGAGGGAAATCTGTATCCCAGCTGAAGGGACACATCTCTGGGAATAGAAAAACCAAGGCAAATACCTCAGCTTGGAGGGCTTATATTGCTGGCTTCTTGTGCTTACTTATTCCCACGATGTTAATCTTTGCTTCCTTAAGTGGAAGTGGGTTACATGTTTGGCAGCTGATAAGAGGAGCTATTGGTTTCTGAACCTGTATGCTGCACTGCTTGATGCCTGCTGATCAGTTAGTTTCTCCAGTGAGAGAGGATCCACAAGGCTGGACAAAGCAAAACAATTGAGTCATTTTGATTGGCAACCTCTGCTGGGAAAACCACTTTGACCTTATGAGGTTGATTTTTTTTTTTATCAAAAGCTTCAGAAAAACAAAACTATTTGAAACCAGAAGAGCCAGAGCTTTGGGATCTGGGAGTTGCTGTTGCTTTACTGATGTTACATCTTCTGCACACCTGTCTTTTAGAAATCAGTCCTGCATTCCAACTTTCCACTTTGAGAAGAGAACCAACTCTATGCTTCAAGTATAAGCTTTAAAGCTTTGCTTAGTCTGTTTGCATTTAAGCACTTTGCTGGCATTTCTGTCCCCCTTCATAGTGCCACCAAATCGGTCATGTTTGCTTCCAGCTGTTCTGTGTATCTCATGAGATTATTTTGAAAATTTACTGCAAAATAAGCTGATGCTATTGTAACAATACAGTATATTTGTCCAATTTAACTTGCAGTCTGGTTTTGAAAGTACTGAGGCACAAGATTCTGATCCTGCAGCATCAGAGCTTTTGGTCAGGACCAGAATGAGTATTTTTGTACACCATAGCAGTATCAAAACCATGAGCTTAGCAGTGAGTTGTTTGGTTGGGTGTTTTTTCTTGAACCCAAAGTGAGCAGATTTCCCTGAGAAAACTGTATCTCTCCAACTAGCCGGCATTTTTGTATCCACTTTGTCTAAATATCCTTCTGAGAGAGAAAATTTTGCAGTCTAACTTGGGAAAATGCTAAAGTTTATCTGTCCTATCTGCAGGAAAATATGTCTAAGGCCATACTTACACAAACCAATTGTTGCATGAATATAGGATGAGGAATTTTTAAACTTCAGTTGCAAGTGCTTCTCTCTCTCACAAACCTTTGCTTGTGATGACCCTACAATAAACTTCTATAAAACTGTTCTTCCATAAAAATGTTCGTCCTCTAAGAGTCACCTGGCTATGAAGATAAAAGATCACGGAAAATTGTAGGTTCTGTTTCTGATTTCCACTGGTGCATAGGCAGCACTGTTTCTTGGCTATATATTAATTTTTTTTTTCCAAGGCTCTAGCCTTGATTTCGTTGAAGGCAGTGGCAAAACCTTTGACTTTAAACAGACCCCAGGGAGATGGGCTAAAAAGTGTCTGAGAATCCGATTTGTAAATAACTTCAGTGGTGTCAGCAACACCTGGAATACTGGGCAGAAAGTAGGAAAAACCTGGGCTGATAACATTAAAGGCTTCTCCTGATAAATATTCTCCACTTTCTCTGAGCCTGACGTGGGAATGATTATTCAAATCTGGAGGGTGAATAAAGGATTTCAGCTCTGAACCAGAGTGTGCAATCTGTGTTACTACACCCCTGTGTGGTGATTCTTTGGATTGTGTCTCTGGGTGATCAGAGAGACCTAACTCACTCCTCTCAGCAGAGCTCAAATTGTTCAAAAGTGAAAAAGGACTTCTCATTCGCCTCTTGTCCAATTTGAATGCTGCCCCTAGAGATTTTTCCCGGGTGGAGAAGAATGTACAGGAGAAGTCTGTCTGTTAGTCAGGAAAACTGCTCCTTCTGATGTCTTTGAGCCTAAAAAGATACTTCTGCTTTGTACCAGGAAGCTGGGTGGGACAATTGATGTGATCGGTGGCCAGGCAGGCACAATTAGGAGAGTAGAAGGAAGACGTCGTGATAAGCATGCCTCTGAGGAGAACCCAATTCAGGTAATTGTTTTGTGGTGTCTTGACAAATTTCTGATTTTTTTTATTGCACTTCTAGTGAACCATGAGCAAATGTCTGTGCATTCCTGACCTCCCTTGTCAATTTTCTATCTGCAAGGCAGCAGGTAGTGCATCAACCCTATCAAGGCCATATGTAATTCCCTTCTGAAGGTTGAATTAACTGAAAAAACTTTATCTTGCTAGGAACTAGGGATTGTCCTTTAAAGACTAACCTGTCCACCTGAATGGCAAGGCCCAAGCTCCTTTTCTCATCAGCCCTCCCAAGGTATTCCTTGGGGTGCGTAGCTGGGAGGCATTTAGTGTCTTGTTCTCTTCCCTTCCACTGTCAGGTTGGAGTCTCCAGCTCTGTGGTGGAGGACTTCTGCCTGGGGCTTGTTTCTTTTTACTTTGAAGTAACATTTAGTCTTAAGCATCATTAGATTTAAGCATCATTTTATTTTATAAGAAATAAAAGCCTGGGGTTTAGAACTGGGCTCAGTTTTGATCTTGCATGGCCAGTGTATGATCATAGTGTTCTGCTTGGCTTCTAGGCAGGATGATTCTGTGTGTAGGATTTGAGGACCATCTGCCAAGAACTCTTCTCTCTTAACCACCTTCCTCCTACCAACCACTCCTAATTCACCAAGAAAACCCCCAAATATGGAACTTTTCCCCTATCTGGTTGCAATTCCTGGTTTTGTTTTTACATGTGTTTTTGTTGTCTGTTTATTTTTTTAGTGGCCAACAATGGCCAAAAAAGAGTTTGCCTAAGAGAAAGAATTTGCTGGGAAATGGTTGTTGTTCCTCCCACTTCCAAGCACTGATACCTGTATTTCCAGGTCATTCTGATATCTCAGCATATTGATCAGCGATAGTGGGTATGTGACATGCTTTTGTCAGACAGACGTGAATCCAGGCTTCCTTTGACCTACGTGGGCACACTCTAGAGCAGAATTTGGCTTCTTGCTGCCCTTAGGAAAGAGAAATTTGGGTTTGTTTTTTTTTTAAAAAAAGAAGAAGCACTACTGTGTTACCCTCAAGTATGGCAGCTTTTAATCTGAAGCCTGTGTCTGTGCAAGTTGCCGTGAACAAAATTGTTCATAACACCGAAATGTCAATTGTCTTGCACAGTTGTGTATATAATCTAATCTCACTGCTGTTCTGCCTAAGAGAAGATGCGTTGCTAAGCATCTCAGTTGCTTTGATCAACCTTCCTTCCTCCCCAAAAGATGTTATCTCCTGGGTATAGCATAGCCTGGTCTTTCCAGGTATCACAGTGCTGCCTCTTCTGGTGTGATTCTCCCTTTATACCAGCACAGTGAGGTCCTAGCTGCAGGAGCAAAGACATTAAAATGCTCTCTTCCTGTTCTTCTGCCTTCTAAGGTCCTTGGAGACCATGGAAGTAAGCCACAACCCCCACAGCAGCCCCAGCAACCATCCCAGCCCCAACAGCCACCTCAGCAACAGCCGTTTGCACCACCAGCAGGCCCACCGCCTCCCCCGCTCGCTGGGCCACCTCCACCACACTTCCTCCACCCTCCTCCACCAGTGACTTCTGTTCCACCTCCCCTGCATCCTCCAGGTATGTGTTCACACAGTAGTACGTGGGCAGTCTGAGACTGCAAGTTAGGACATCCCAGGCTTGGAGCAAATCAAAAGTTTAATCACTAGATGCTATGGGACAGTCGAGCAATCAGGTAATGGGTCTTTAGACCTGGCTGATCTTTGTTCAGTGTCTGCATCAGCCTATTTAACATTTGCCCTTGGATATTTAAAAAATGTTCCTTGAAAAAAGCTCCAGGCTGTGTTTCTGTGAGAGAGCCTTTGGGTGCTACTGATCCATTTGCTTTATTGATAAGTACGAAGAAATGGGTTCCTGTTTATCTGTGGAGGAAGCTAAGAACCCAGGAATTGCTATCCTGCGTCAGATCAGCAGGCTCTTAGTTCAGGATCCTGTCTGGCTGTGACTGATTCCAAGTGTTCCAAGGGTGATGCTGGAATTGGCAGCTCTAGCAAACAACTTTCCTCCTAGTCCAGGTCAGTTCTTGGTTGGTTTATGCCTTGAAATACCAAAATTTATATCTTTTCATGTTTATTTCTGTGCATTTTATTGTACCAACTGTCACTGCAGGATGATTCTTACTGCTCCTAGAACAGTCTAGTGTCCAGTGCAGACATTGGAGTGGTGCTTCATTTTAAAAGCAAAATATAAATAATATAAATGAGGCCTTTACCACGGGTTTCTAGCCCATTGGGTGTGGTCAGTCCTCAGCATTGGCAAGTTTGTATGCTCTTATCAATAACAAGATGGGTTTGTATTGTGCTAAGAGCATTTGGCACTTGAGAAGACACTGTCAAGATAAGTCCTGTGTCTGCAGGAATTCCCTCTGCCTCTGCAGTTACAGACTGAGTCCTGAAACTTTTTGAGATAGAGGAGGTGAAATTTCTGATTGTTTTCTGCTTTGTTTCCTTGAGCACCATGTTACAGAACAGTTTCATTGTCTCTTCTGTGCATGTAATAACTCGGTTTCCACAAAGTTTCTTAATGCATCTGAAACACGGAGGCCAGTAGTACTCTGTCTGGGCACCAAGCAAAATACGGTAACACTGGTGGAGAGAACAAAGAACTTTGTGACTGAAAAGGCCAAATATCTACTCGTGCAGCATTTTCCAGGAGGCATAGGGTCATTTTTCTATTGACCCTTTCCAGTGCAAGTTTACAGACATACTGACCAGGACCTAAGACACATTTTTCTGTCTTCATTTCCTACTAAGTCTGCACATCTTGTGATCCAGCATGAGTCATGTCTGTGCCCCTCTTGCTTCCAGCTTAAATAGCACATCAAGGTTGAAGCGAAGGCCACGCTCTGGGCTTTCCCTGGTCCTGTAGGCAGCAGCCAGGCTTCTGAGAAGTCACGAGGAGCACATCATGCTGTAACTCCTATATTTTGCACTGACTCCACATGCAGAAGAGACAGAATAAAAAGTGCAGTCAGGACTTTTAATCTGAGGAGGATTATTATTGCAGTACTCACTGGTGGACCATGATAGGTTTTCCTGTTGCCTGTCATTAAAATGATCGGCAAAATCAAGATGAATAGTTCTCTTGTTCTTTCGGTTGTTGACCAAGGTGTCTGATTTCTCTATGCAGTTATGATTGACATTTTTTTTTTTTTTAAGTTAAAAAAAAAATAAAACAAACAAGCAAAAGTACACACCGGTGGCTATAGCAGGTTCTCTTCTCCAGCTCCTTCTGTTGTTCTGAAGGCCAAATCAATTGTTTGTACGTTGACACTCAGAAAAAGGAATTCTCCAGTGTAAGAGAGTGGCAACATTTAAAATTATGATGTAAAGGTAAAAAATCATCATTTGGGAAAATGATAATGTTTGTAGCCTAGTTACTGCTTTAATAGCACCAATTTTTCCGCTGGTCTGTTTGCTCAAATATGTGAAATTTATTCAAAAGTGTGCTTTTTGCTTTAGTTTGAGGTACAGAGATGACATGCTTTACCTGTTGTACTCACTTGGTTTGCTTGCTTATTTATCTCCACAGGTCTGCCACCACCCGGTCCTATTCCAGGTAGGTGTTAACTTTCTCTTAATAACAGCAGTGATTCTGAACACAGAGATGGCCCTGTCTGAGCGTTTGGATCAAGGAACATGAGATAGGATGACACCAAGACCCATTTTAGAGCACAGTTAATTTAAAGCTAATAAACTCCAATGCAGCATTGAACTCTAGCTGCTTATCTTATATTCTGGACCTAAATAATAATCTGTAGGGCTGTTTAATGCTATCTTGATTTGTCTCTGAAGTGGATCAGTCTAGGGAGTGAAATGGAGAACTTCAGGTGGCAAAAGCCACTTATTTGGATTTGAAATGGTTTAGTTCTTGTTACGGCATTTGTGCAGGAAAAGTCTGAGTGACAAGTTGGTGCTTTCTGTAGGAGTCTGGAGTGTGAGACTGAGCAGAACAAGTGCTGTTTCCATCAGAAACCTTTGCTCCTTGATGTGCAGTAGAGATGGTGAATACTAATAAAGAAATGGAACAACCGATATCTTGTGCATCAGTTAAGAACCCCACTAATTCAGAGCTACTATAAAACTGAGTTTCCTCTAGCTGTAATTTTTTTTTTCTACTGGAAATTTTGCCTAGTCCAGGGAAAACAAATTTACCTGTTTGTGTAGCAGCCCATTTGGAGTGATAATTCTGACCAGATGTCGTAGTTCTGACAATCCAAGGTCAATGGTGACTGCATACATGCAGTCAGGCCACTGCCTCTGTGTTATACTTGATTCATGTACCTGAAAAAAGTCTGCACCCAAAGCACTTTGGACTTGGTGTGCTTGTTCTCACTATGTGTCAGACATGTTGGACTTGATTCACAGCTTTTGTGTCCATGCTTTTGTATTCATGCTCTGCCCTGGGCTTTCCAAATGGAAATATGGAAAACCTACAGTAGCTTGGAGAACCTAGGTTTAATGTAAATGGCTGCAGTTAGTCAGAGGACTCCTGTCCTTTGTATCAGTACAGTTTCCTCCTTTTTTTGTTGTTTTATAGTAAACAGAAATTTTTATGCAAAGCCAGGCCAATGGGTGCTTAGTCTGTTCATATTGGCATTGGCAGCTGCCTAGAGAATTAATAGTTGCTTATAGTTACAGACACTAGTTTAAGAAGTTCTTTTAGGAGCAGTCAGCATCCTTCTCACTTTCGGATTGGTCAAGGTTGAGGACTTTGGATTCCCAGGCGTATGTCACTTCTGAAAGTGGCCTTCATAAATTTCTCCTTAATTCACAGAGTTGTAAAATCATAGAATCACCTGGGTGGAAAAGACCTTTGAGATCATCGTGTCCAACCATACCTGTCCACTACTAAACCAGATCTCTGAGCACCTCATCTACCCATCTTTTAAACACCTCCAGGGATGGGGACTCGACCACCTCCCTGGGCAGCCCATTCCAGTGCCCGAGAACCCTTTCACTGAAGCAGTACTTCCTGACATCCAATCTGAACCTCCCCTGGTGTAACTGAAGGCCATTGCCTCTTTTTCTATCGCTGGGAGAAAAGAAACGCACCCACCTCGCTACACCCTCTTTTCAGGGAGTTGTAGACAGTTATAAGGGTTCCCCTCAACCTCTTCTTCTCAAGACTAAACAACCCCAGTTCCCTCAGCCATTCCTCGTAAGGCTTGTTCTTTTCTGTGTTCTTGAAGATACTGCCTTGTGATTCTGTGTAATAACTCTTCATAAGTTTGACGCTGGGCCCATTTTTAAAGCGTCAGACCTTTCAGACAACTTCCCCTGCACTGTTGGTGCTGTTTTCTCATGATTTTTAAATGTACATGTGCTCAGAAAATTGGCTTGCTTTAAAAACAACCAAAACCAGGTGAATTCTGCGTTAGGTGATTTCACAGAATGACAAAATTGCCTGGATTGGAAAAGCCCTTCAAGCTCATCGAGTCCCATCATTAACCCAACACTGACAAGTCCCTGACTAACCCATGTCCCTCAGCACTATGTCTACATGACACTTCAGTCCCTCCAGGGATGGGGACTCCACCACTGCCCTGGGCAACCCCTTCCAATGCCTCAGAACCCTTTCAGCAAAGAAATTCTTCCTCACATCCAGTCTAAAATTGGTAAGAGAAAGTTACTCATCTTAATCAGTGGAGCAGTAAAACCTTTGCTGTAGTTGCAATGTGTCTACATCCCAAGAACCTGAGTTTCTGTCTTCCACAGGACTGTAAGGGTTAATGTTCTCTCCTTAATTAATCTTACGTTTAAGATGAATAAGCCAAAAGAGAAGGTAGTTCTTCCTTTCTTTTTCTTTCCATACCCCCACAGAACTAAGACAGCTGTAGGGTTTTAATTTTGGTAGGAGATACAACCCTGGAGGAAAATTACTCCATTTCAAACAGGGCTTTGTTTATAGTGAAAAGATGCTTTAACTGCTTTTAACTGTAAACAGCAATGAAGTTGTGTTCCCTCATGGCAAGCTGTGAAATCTTTGTGATGACTTACACGCTTCTGTCCCTAGGGTTGTTCCCGCCTCCTCTGGCACCACCACCAGCTCTCCTCATTCCAACCTTGGATGGGTAAGACCACACCTAGGCTGAGCTATCCGTACGTAGTGAGGAAGAGAGGAGGAGGAGGATGGGTCTAAAACCAGTGCTTATAATTCTTAGTCTTGGATTGGGGTGGAGGGTGAGAGTGGAGTCTATAGGGAATCCTCTGGGTGTTTAACTTGATTGATCATCTTCATGGCACCAGAAAGAGTCAATAAAGTGTAGGTCTAGTGCAGAGTGGTTGATACATGTTATGTTACTCCAGATATTTTCTATAAAGATTCTCCAGGTACTCTGTAAGCACTGGTTATGTCCCAGGACATAAAGCCTGTCTGCTTTACAGAATGGGTGGGGTACATTGAATTGCAGCAGTTTCAGAAGGTGTGGCAGAGCTACTGCACCTGTATGTATTTCTGATAGTTTGCAATGCAAAGTGATTCACTGAAACCGTGGGTTTTCCATGAGGATTTTTCAGACCTTCAGAAAAAAATGGGGTAAACTTGCAGCACAGCCATACCTGCAAGGGGTCACTGGTGGGTTAGTAACTTGCGTCCTTTTCTCTCTCTCCAAAGCCAGCCAGCCAGCTACAATAACAGGCAGCCACCTCCATTTGGCTACAACTCTGCAGGTGAGCACTGAAGATAACGAACAGTCACACTGGTTTTATCTCTGTTCTCTGGGATTTGGTAGTTCAGGCTTTTCTTAAGCTGATGGACCATCATACTTGCTTTACCTTGAGGGTCTTGCTATCCCAGTCTATCCCAGTCACTGGACACACATGCTGAGTTTGACTGCACCATACAGTGTTTGGAAAGCTGAATGTTTTGCAGTGATGATGAGTGCAATTTTCTAGTTGAGTGCTGAGCCTCAGATCACTGTTTTCAATGCACATACCCGGCAACAGAGAAGCTTCCCCACGTGCCTCAGCAGCTTGTTCTTCTGCTTGTTTGCATGCACACTCTCGCTCATACTCTCATCCTTTTCCCCCACCCTCAGGGAAAAGCACAGCCATCACCTTTGCATCTCTTCCCTGAGCTTTTGAATGTCCTCCTCCCCCACTTTTTCTTGCCTACGGGCACATGCAGGCATCTCTCTCCTTTTGTTTTGTAATGGAAGAGGCAGTGCCAGGATTTCAGCAGATTTCCTTCCCTGTTGCAGCCCTGCCAGCAGTGCCCACGTTCTCTCCCATTTCCTTAGTGACCAGCACTTGTGCTGAGCAGACAGAAGCGCAGGCAGCAGCACTGTGCTGTCTCCTCTGCAGGAGGTGGTGGGAGGAGTAGGTAGTAGGAAGCCTCCCTGAGAAACAGGAGCACCAAGTGCTGTCCTACCTGAGGCTTTTCAGCAGCTGTTACTGCTTTGGGATATGACCTTGCTGGTCCAGCTGAGCAGGCCCCAGCAGGCCAGCATCTGGATGATGGAGAAGTGCTAGTGGCTCGGGGCTCAGCAGGTGGCATCCTTCATGAACAGCTGGTGCTCCTGGCTCTCCCCAGCTGCCACCTTAGGCGAGAAGGTACCTGGTGAGAAGTGAGACCTTGTAAGGGTGGCCAGGAGCCCCAGGGCTAACTGAACTCAGCTAGCTTGGCAGCACAGGGGTGCCTGAGCATTGCAGGCACCTTTGCTGTCTAAGCCAGGATGTCTGGGAGGGATGGATTGAAACTTCTCAGTGAAGCCCTTGTGGCATGTCCCTTATAGCAGGACCTACAGAGAGCAGGAGCACAGCCCTTGCAGTACTGTGCTGTGTAAGGGGCTGGGGAGATTTTGCAGTGACGTCTCTGAAGTATCTGATCTTAAGATATGTGTGTTCACATGTTTTTAGCAAACTGCTGAAAGTAAAAAGGGAGAGCGAGGACAGGATGGGGTTGGGCCACTGTTGTCTCCTTGGATTCAGCTGGACCTGCAGAGGGTGTCTTTGGAAAGGGGGGCACAGAGAGGATGCTGTTAGTGCTTCAGGTGAACAAGTATTCTGCTCTCTCACTGCAGATTCAGGTTTCATCAGCTACCCACCCATCTCCACGTCCCACACGCCCTGGGTGACAACGGTGGACAAAGGCACAAGCAGTTCCAGCAGCAGCCATTGGGAGTACTCGGGATCCCGGCGCGAGAGGGAGCGGGAGCGTGAGCGCGAAAGGGAAAGGGAGAGAGACAGAGACCGCACTCCGACCACTAGCGAATACAACAAGTGAGTGCTGTGTGAACAGGTGTTCCCCCTCTACTCTGCCCTGGTGAGGCCACATCTGGAATATTGTGTCCAGTTCTGTGCCCCACAGTTCAGGAAGGACAGGGAACTTCTTCCAGGAGTCCAGCGCAGAGCCACAGAGATGATGAAGGGAGTGGAACATCTCCCTTATGAGGAAAGGCTGAGGGAGCTGGGGCTCTTTAGTTGGAGAAGACTGAGGGGTGACCTCATTAATGTTTATAAATATGTAAAGGGAGAATGTCAGGAGGATGGAGCCAGGCTCTTCTCAGCAATGTCCAACAGTAGGACAAGGGGCAATGGGTGCAAGCTGGAGCATAGGAGGTTCCATGTAAATATAAGGAGAAAGTTTTTCACTGTGAGAGTCACTGGACACTGGGACAGGCTGCCCATAGAGGCTGGGGAGGCTCCTTCTCTGGAGATGTTCAAAACCCACCTGGACATGTTCCTGTGTGACCTGCTGTGGGTGATCCTTCTCTGGCAGGGGGGTTGAACTAGATGATCTCCAGAGGTCCCTTCCAATCCCTCCCATGCTGTGAGTCTGTGAGTGCTGGGCTTCCACAGCTGCTGCTCACCCCTGCCCAGTGGGGAGCAGTGGCCTTGCCCAGTCACACAAGAAGGTGTTTGGTCCAGGGATGGGATTACAGATTATACCAGTTTCATTTTCTGAAACTGTCTGGGGAAGAGATACTTTAGATCAATAACTAGAGGACAACCTAGGAGCCGTTGTCACTGGGTGATTTCCTGTGTCTGGTTTTTTGTTTAATCCAGCAGAACCAGTTAGGCTTGCTTTCCCACCTGTAATGTGAGGCCAGTAAATGATAACAGCCCCTCTCTGTTTACCAGGTATTTCACAGCTCAGTGTGAAACATTGGCCATAGAAGCTGCTGCTTCTTGTCTTTCTAAATGCAACTGTCAGATCAAAGGGAAAACCAGCCATGCTTTGCTCAGCTCTCTAGAGGCTTTCAGGGCAGGGAGTGCCATTCACCAGGAGTCAGCCGGGAAATGTAAATCCCAGGCGCTTCTGCTGGAGACAACCACTTTGGTGGGAACCGATGTGATCTCGGGTGACAGCAGTGCTGGGAGCACTTGAGAAAGGAGGCTTCAGCCTCCCAGCGTTGATCTAGAGGGCTAAAGTGAAGGCTAGACTGCAGAGACTCATTCTAAACCCATCACTTTTTCGTTCTGTCACAGGCAGCGTCAGTGTTTTGCAGGCTTCAGGCTCAGAAATACCAATAGTTATTCAAAACATGATCAGAATGTGCATTCCTAGCAGAGGGGTGCTGCCTGCCGGGGAACTTCCCGGCCCCAGGGGTGAGCAAATAGGGCAAGGTTTTCCTAACTTCCCCTCCCCCACACCCCTTTTTCTTTACAAGCTTGTGGGCACTGTGGGTAGATGGGGGAGGAACAGAGCAGAAGACAAACTTGCTACAGTTTGAAGAGCTCAGACTCCCACACTTCCTGGACAGGTTCATGCTGCAGCCAAGTCCTGTGGTCAGCTCTCCTGAGCACATTGTTGGCATTTCTGGGTGCTTTGGAGCACGCTGACCTCTAAGATCACGCTTGCCAAAGCAGGACAAGTAGCTGTGCTTAGTGGAGTCCTTTGGAGCACACTCAGATGATTGATACTGGACATTTATCTCTCTAGCTTGTTTCCATGAGAGTTCGGATGATTTTTCAGACTTCCTTTCTCTCAGAGTTTGAATATTGTTTCCAACAGTGGGACTTGTTAACCCTTTAGCTTCTGGCTTTCAGAATTTGAATAGGGACTATGGGGTGTAGAGGGAAGGGGAGCGTGGGATGTATCTGAACTTGGGGTACATCTTGCCTGCTCCTGTATGTGGATTGAATGAGGTACCTTGAGCAGATAGATAGGTGTGGGCAGAAAGGCCGTGTCAGCAGTACTCACAGTTTGAGTTTTTGAACTCATGGGGAAGAATATAGTCCCTTAGTCTTAACTCACACAAGGTACAGGTTATGTGGGACAACAGCGTTGTGAAGTAAAAATCCAGCACCAGGGGAGGCAGGATGATGAGAGTAGCATGTTCCTTTTGTCTTCGAACAAGGTAGCTGATGTCTTGGACATATTCCAGAAGGATTGTGGGGGCAAAAGCCCTGAGACATTGGCCACACACCTGCTGGTAAGGTACTCCCTTGGCAAATCCAGAGAACAGATTTTGTAAACTCTTTGCCTTGAGAGGCCAGGAGAAAGCAGTGCTATTCAACTGTTGGGGCTTGTGCAACAGGCAGATGGGGAAAGTTCTTTCACTGCGGTTAGAAACTGTGATTGCGTTGCAGCTCGGGTTCAATAAGCAGCAGCAGCTCATTGTGATGGGTTTTTTCAGTAGCATCCCAAATACCTCAGCCTGTTGATAAAGGAAGCGGTGACAGGGTCACAGGATGGGGTTTTACAGTCCCGTAAACATGGCTCCTAACTTTGAGGTCCACAAGTAATGTGTTCCTCTGTCTCACTTCTACTTTCTCTTCTGAAGTGATGATGAACGATACCGCTACTACAGCCGAGAGCGCAGCTACGACTTTGAGCGTGACTACCGCCGGAGTCGAGATCGCAGCAGGGAGCGAGAGGATCGGCACCGAGAGCGCAGGCACAGGGACAAAGAGGAGAGCAGCAAGCATAAGTCTTCAAGACGGTAAGAGCTGTCTAGGGTTGAACTGGGCTGTTGATGGGAGCACACCTTAGCTTGATGTTCTCTGAGTGAACTGTTGCCCTGGGTCATACTGGCTTCGGGGCATACTGGCTT